ATAACTGGATCAGAATTCCATACGTAAATATGTAGAATTTTAAAGTTCACATTCGCAATGTTTCAAAAAATGAGCTCATACGCAGGCCAGAACTGGCGTGAATATTCATTCCTCTGTGCAACCTGTTTGTAGAGATGGGAAGCTGTAAGTGAATTTGTAGCCAAATTTTGGAAGGAAAAGTGATCGGACTTAAAAAAAAATTCTGTGTGGTAGAATCTGGAAAAAAACGTGGTAGATTTCAAAAAAAATGTGGTAGATCACTGGGTTTGGATCAAACTTTGTACAAAAATTAAAAAAAAAATCGGCAAGGTTTCACCTAAATTAATTAGACTCTAAAACAAATTTAATTTTAGCATAATAAAGTGCAAGATTGAGGTTGCTAAAAATTGGAATTTTCTCTGTCTTTTGTGTAACATTACGGCGACTTTCAATTTAACTACAGTTCATTCTCTAACAATACCCATATAAACCCAAGTTTTAATTTTGTAAAAGACTACAAAAAAATGCAACAAATTTTCACCTAAATTTCAAACTTTTTTCTCAGAAGTGTTAAAATTTTTTTGAGTACGCAGTTTTATAACCCATTCAATTTCAATCTAACAATGTGCAAGTTTCAAGTGGCTAAAAATTACCCTTGATTTTTTAGATTTTTTTGTCGCATATAACGAATAAATACAATTTATTTTTATATGGAAGAAACCTGTTAGACTAAAATTGAATTATAAAACTGCGTACTCAAAAAAATTCTAACACTTGTGAGAAAAAAGTTTGAAATTTTAGTGAAAAGTTTTTGAATTTTTTTGTAGTTTTCTAAAAAGTTTTAAATTTGACTTAATATAGGTTTTGTTAGAGAATGAACTGTATTTTAATTGAAAGTCGCCGTGATGTTACACAAAGGTAGGCCTTCTACTTTCAAAAGACAGAGGCAATTGGCGAAGCTTTTCGGTCTCGGCCTAAGACGGCATTAGATACGCTCAAGGTCATAAACAAATTCGTTCGTTTAAGAAATTACAATGCATGCAAATTCCTTTTTTTGTTTGTTTCGGTAGTATGCCTTTTAACAATGCTACAGCCAAGTCTAAAAAGTAGAAAGTAAATAATATAAAAAAAAAAACTTTTTAATATATCACGCTTTTATAAATGGACTAAAAAGCAGAACATAATATTTTTTAGTCCCTTAGAATTTGTTTTGATAACTTTTGATTTTGAAATTTTAGCAAAACATAAACAATTTATGAGATTGAAAATGAAAAGCGTGCGGCGCATGTAATAGACCCGAATTGATATGAAGGGTAATATATGTATGTATGTATGTATGTGGATATATGAATAACGACCGCTTAAAATCGATCTCAAATCTGTACTTTCTCTGTAGAAATTTTAGTTCTATGTTATGTAGTTTGACTATTGTCAATTAAATCGAATGCTTTGTATTGCATGCGCTCCACGTTTTTCGTTTTCAATCTCATAAATTGTTTATAATGACTTTTGCTAAAATTTCAAAATCAAAAGTTATAAAAACGAATTCTATGGGACAGAGAAATATTATAAAAGCGGTGTATATTAAAAAACTTTTTTATATTATTTATTTTATATGCGCTCAGACGTTGATATGCAGAAATGTTCTTATGTAAGCATATGCAATACATTTGTAAGTATGTATGGAGCCAGGTACAGTCAGAGTCAAAAGTTAGTATAGACCTTGTTCTAATATAATATTCAAACATTTTTTCATATTTTTTTTTTATGAAAATAAGGTTTATTCTATAACACTGTGCGACAATTTTATGGCAATTCAAACCAGCCCGGAATTTGCTAGTATTTTCTGAAAGAATACATATCCAGTAATGAAACACTCGATGGATTTGCAAAAATTAGCTCGCATTTTATGACCTACTAAAGTTTTCATGTCTCGGCCTAAGTAGTTTTCAAAAAAGTGGGAAAAATTGTTAAAATAAGTATCTGAGTGAAATTAAATATTAAGACATTTATAGTAAAATTTCATGGGAAATATTTTCGTAGAACATTTTAACCTATTAGCTCCCACCTAAAAGGATCGTTTTGACCGTTACTTCAGGAAACCCCTCAAAAAGCAAATTTGGAAGTTCGTTAGAGGGTTGATATATTCTAGAGAATGATTTTTCGGCAAATTTTACTAGGGGCCTTCTCAGGCAAAAGCTTCGTGCCACCAACGTAAAAGTCTCTAAAAAGTTAAACGCAAAAATCAACAAAAAAACTTGGTTTTTACAAGGTTTTATTTAACTTGCTCTGTATGTATATATGTGTGCTTGTTACCGATGACAATGCGATACGAAAGATGAATTAATCCGACAGGTGGCGCAGGAGTCGAGATATTTGAAAAACCCGTATTTATAATCCGATTTGGTTAATATCTAGCACGGAATTTAGCAAAGGAATAAATCCACAAAAAATTTGACCGATAGGTAGCGGGAAAGTTGAGATATTTGGTAAACCAGTATTTTGGTCCGATTTCGATCATTTTTATTTAGAAAGCTTGTGTTAAAAATATTTGTTTACTATTGACTTATTTTACAAATAATTTTTTAAAATTGAGTTTGGCTGTTATTCCTTCTTGCAGAATATTTCTATCTATAATATATCAATCCTCCAACGACCTTTTCGCTTTTTGCGGGTTTTCTTTAGGTAAGGGTCAAAAAGGGTCGTTTTGCAGGTCGTCAGGTGGCACCTAATGGGTTAAAATGTTCTACGAAAATATATCCCATGAAATTTTATTTACTATGTCTTAATCTTAAATTTCACTCATACATTTATTTTAACCATTTTTTCGACTTTTTTGAAAACTACTTAGGCCGAGACATGAAAACTTTAGTAGCCATAAAATCAAAATACGAGCCAACTTTCGCAAATCCATCGAGTGTTTTACTACTGGATGGGTATACTCTCAGAAAATGTTAACAAAGTTCGGGCTGGTTTCGGCTGTCACACAGTGTAACATAAACCAAATAAATTAGTTTGAAATTTGTATAAATATTTTTGGAATTCTTGGGAATGTTATATAAACAGGTCTATTCTGCACGTTACCGATGTTTTTGGTAACCAAAAAATGCTACCACTTCTTGTCACCCCGATTCTAGGTTCGTCGGTAATGCAGCAAGATTTGTGGAACAAGTTGTATGCTGACTTTTGTCACTGACTGTATATACATACGTATGTACGTACGCGCTTCAGTATATGGGTGCAAATAAAGATCCATATCAGCGAGTAATTGCAAAAATGTTATTTGACGAAAGATTATCAGCTTCACCGCTGCCAACACAACACAAACGTATGCACAAACCTGTACAGCTGTGTTCGAAAAAATAGTAGTGTCGCTGGATCATTTCCATCAAACAAGAAATTCAAGTGTTACACATAAACGATGTATTTAAAAAACACGTTTTTTCGCTCTCCAGTAAAATTTGAGTGCCGTAAGATAGGCGTTTTTGCAATTGGTCGATGGGCGGTTTTGCAAAAACATCGACGATATGTAAAAAAAATGAGAATAGTGTATCCAACTATTTGTTCTGAGGTTTTTTTGTACATTTTGTCGTCGTGAGTTCTTGGTATAGCTAATTATTAGCTGCGATCCCGTACGCGTCCGGACTAATTAGAATTAATCAGATTTTACTGGAAATCGTTCCCGTGCTCGGTTCTCTGACTATTGCGGGGCAAAAAAGAGAGTAAATAAGGTCTTTAGTTTTAGTCCGAAGATTTTTTGCTGGTAAATGTGTCAAACGATCAGCTGTAGTGTGCTTGACAACCAAATTATAAACAAAAGAAAAGTGCACTACTTGTTTAAGTGAATTCTAATAAATATGAAAGTATTTTTGGTTATTTACATGTGTGAGCTGAGTGTGTTTACAAACAAAATGAGCAAACAAGTTGTCAGAAGCTACCATTTTTTACTACATGGAAAGCGATCCCGTTCTTTTAAGTGTTACTCTCTCGTTCTGAGCGAATATTTATTTTTGTGAGAGTTTTACTAATTTTAGTCCGACTATTCGTCGGGATTGGACCTATTACTTCCCGCTTATCAATAAACAGATGCGTTTATCTTCTCAATTGCAAAAGAGGGTACCGTACTTTTAGTAATTTTACATTGAAAATTCTTAAATACCTAAAATCACCTAATTATTGAGGCATTTTTATTTACTTAAAATGTTAGAGCTTCTCAAGTTAAGCACTACCTACTTTTTTTTTTGAACAGCTGGTTTTTGGGCATATAGTTAAATACCTCATGAAATGGCAAAATGAAGCACAAAAGTTTCTATTTCCTTTTCACCTTCCTGTTTGTTATATTCTAACATAAAACATTTAATCACAACTATTCAAGTTGTAAAGCAGAACATGACAAAAAATATTTTTTTATCATTGTGCGCCTAGCACTTATTTTTTTGCACACAACTGTATGTAAGTATGTATTCAGGTACTATGTTATAAAATCTATATTTTCATTGTGCATTTTTCGCCGGTGAACAAACAAAGAGTGGTGCTACGGTCGCGGCAATACATATCAACAGCTATTTCTAATGGACAACAACATTGTTTTACCTGTATAGAGGTTCCGGTCTTTTGTAGTGAATTACGTAGAAATCCGAAGGGAAAGATACTGCCATAGTGGCCAGAGTCCCGACGAAAATGTACGATAGCGCCCGGGATAGCTGAGGTGCCACCACGGCACGTAGGCGAAGTGGAGGCGGGATTCAGCGGCGACATCTCGGAGAAAGCACGGCCCACTTGCGATAACCGAGGCGCGATGCGACGCCGCTGCTCGCTGCTCTGCTCCCCGACCTCATCCTCGTTTCTCATATTTTCCATTTCTTATGCAATCAATTTGCGAGTAACTTGTATTTGTTAATTTGCGACAATCTGCACACACTCTTTTGAAGCTTACATATAATTTAGTTTTATTATAAGGTTTATAGTTTCTCAGGCATGAATTTTGTAAAAGCAAAACACAAATCCTTGGAAAAAATCAACACATTGTGATCTACACAACCAAACAAAAGCAAAAAAAAACAACAAACAAACGTCGAATGTTAACAAATCGATAACAGCAAAGTTCGGCAGAACAGAGAGAGCTGCTGGGAAGAGCGGAGACGTCACACCGGTGAAAGTGCGCGATTTCAGTCAGCTTCAGTGCGAGTAACTAAACTAACTAATTACCGGCGCGCGCGCGGATCAACTAATGGCGCGTATCAACTCGAACAACAGTTACACCGTGTATTTTGTTTTGCCCCAAAAACAATGACAAACAGACAGACAGACAATGTTTACCCCATTTCATGTTTGAGCGATGAGAAGCAGCAGCACTCGGCGTTGTGATGAATAATTTTGAGTGGAGTATTTAGCACAACGGACAGCAGAGGAGATCGCTCCAATTTGTGTGTACAATTCAGTGATTAGGAATGTCTGTGTCTTTGCAAATCGGCTGCAGAGGTTCCAGAGGTGGCTCTTTGTTCTATCGCAGAAAGCAATGAAGACCCATAAGGTGTGGGTTACACACACCCACACATACGAGTGTGTATGAGTATGTGTATGTCAACAAAATGCTAGACATTTAAACGAGATAAGCGCCCAGTCGAGCGCGAATTTTTCGTTGCATTTTTGGAATATTTTTTACTTAGGCCTGAATACAATTGAATTTCATAAAGACTCTCGAGCTTCACTGCCCTGCAGTAAGCCCGGGGCCAGCCAACGCTAAGCCACCATGTACGTCTACAGCGACAATTGCACTAGTGCAAATATCGACCACGGTTTCTTTTTGCAGGAGTACGAACTCGCCATAGACAATGACTGTAGCGTTTTTGTGTGAATATTGTCTACACTTTGTCAACAAGCACAACAGCTGTGCTTCGTCTTGCATTTTCTATTCCATCAGATATTTATTTAAGCGTGCACGTGCGGGCGAACAAAATTTTTACAAATTTTTTTCAGAAATTAAAAGGTGAACGTAAATAATTAATAAATTTTCTCGTATTTTCTCCTTATAACCAGATGTCATATCGACCTTCAGCAAATCATCAGACACAACTTTGAGAGCAGCTTTCCAACGCCAAAAGAAAAAATCCTTCAAGCAAACAACCCGCATTAAAACCCAAAAAAATACTATTTATTAGATTGTAAGAAATGTTTAGCTAGCCTTGAAGAAATATGCCAAAAACCAAGTACCTTTTTTATTAAAAATAACTATCTACAAGACATTTTTATCAACAATATACATATCTGTGTTTCAATTAATTGTATTACCCAAAGGTATAAAGGAGTGTAGACAATAAACATTAAAAGGTAGTAGCGAATCTCTGGTGCCAATGTCTCCATATGGTCCCAAAGGGAGTACTTAGTCAATACCTCTGGAGAATTGCAATGACAAGCACATGTGAGATGTCTATAGCAAATAACATTGTGTGTCGCATATCTTGGAACTAGTACTGGTGACAAAGTCAATAGCGAATCGATAAAGTTTCACTGTCGACATTTACTGCAGGGTGAATTCTGCAAATGGTCTACTTCCATACACAAATACAAACATACGTACATACACTGGCGGCAGAAATAATAGACTCGTCGTACTTTTAAGAATTTTGGCTATATTTATTTAGTTTATTTTATGTTTAATATTTTTTTATAAAAGCCTAGGTAGTTATGCAACAAACATCATATAAATCCGCTTATCAAAATTTGAACAAAAATTATAAAAATTCGACAAATTTTCACCAAATTTTCAAACCATCTTCTAGCCACTTGAAACTTGCGCTTCATTTTACTAAAATTGAATGGGCTACAAAACTGCATACCAAAAATTTTTCTAAAGTTTAAAAATTTGGTGAAAATTTGCCGCATTTTTATAATTTTTGTAGAAAGTTTGAAAGGGGGATTTATATGAGGTTTGTTGTATAGCTAGCCAGGCTTTTATAAAAAAATATTAAACGAAAAAAAATTTTGACTATATAATTTTAAATCATTAAATAACTTACCTAGAGTGCAGAATACTCTTTCTAAAATTTTATTTTTAAGTCACAATTGCAACTGCCAATTTCGCTTTAGCAAGACTGATGTCAGCAATCAAAGCGAATTTAATTCGCCTAGTCAGTACAGTGGGGAAGTTTGATTGATTGATTGATTTTTTGATTTGTCGAATTTTTGTGAGTTTTGCCCAACGTTTTTTACTTTCGCGCTGGATTTTAATTTGCTGCACATGTCTTTATCGTTAAATCGTCTGCGATATTCGCCATCGCCAACGCGCAAAGTTCAAGTACACATGTACAAATTTTATAAATTTTTGTTAATATTCGTAGTAGATAACTATTCACTTAGTCGTATTACGAATGGTTGAAACTTTATAATTCACAGAACTGATTATTTTTTCTTATTTCATAAAGAAAAGTCGCAAAAAATTTCTAACATCACTCTAGTAATGAAAAATGCACTGTAAAAGCCAAATTCTGAACGTCAATCCCATATCCAAAGGCGAGCACATAGTAAAGTGAGAGGGCAACGTGCTGCTCATTTGCTTGCCTTTGTATGAAAAAAATGCGTAGTACCGTCAACAAAAAATATTGCCAAAAATGAACGGGAAGTTCTATCTACTTCAAACTTGTACTTTATTATGCGAAAATTTAACGATTTTTTTGGAACAAATTTTGTGGGTCTAAAAACTCGAGAAAATTGTGCTACAAATGTGTGATGTTACTACAAGGATGCTGTTTCAAATTGAATACATCTAGGATCATTTAAGAAGGTTTTAAGATCTGTTAGCCTTAGTGGAATAATTAGCAAAATTATTTTTGTCCCGTATTCGGCTCCCATAAATATGGTCACCGTACGTATCGCATATCGTATCTCCTAATGTGCACCGTGCCTAAAACATCTGCATAGACTTCGTGCATACACAAACACGAATTCACAGTTACTCTTACTAGCTGACACTTCAATTCGGATTTTTTGACTATCCTGATATTTCCAGATCTGAATAAAAAATCCGAATATTCGGGTGTCCGCACAGCGTATAGATATCCGGATATTCGAATCTAAAAATTTATAATAAAATAACAACTGTTTGTTTATAAATGAAGAGTCCTATTTCACTGCACAGCACTGGGCGGGGGAAATTACTTTTTTACCTAAATCAGTGTTTGCATTATTCAACTTTGCGTTCAACAATTGCTTTCAACTCAACGCAGGGTTGCACGAAAAAAAAGTTGAATGGCTAAATGTTGGCTGGCGACCAACTTTGTTGAAAGCGATTAGTTGAAAGGCCATTCAACCAAAAGTTGAATGCAAAGTTGAACAATGCAAACACACTTTAAGACTCAATCTCTTAAAAAAATGGTTTGGTCCAATACCCAGAAAAAAAGGTTGATTTTTCCGTACAGTGTTATTATTTTAGATTTATTTTGTAGATAGATTTAGTAAATTTGAGAACAATTTAACGAATCCGCTAAAATACTTAGAATATCCTAGTGTTCGGATTTTATATGCGTATATACGAACATCCGAACGAATATTCGGTTCAACTACACACTGTGAATTATCTCAATTCAAAAAACAAAAACAAACTTTATTGTCGCAAATGTTTTGAAGCTGTTTTTTCGCAGTTTTTTTTTAGATACATTTTTTAATTAAGACGGCCTTCCAGCAAAAGGGGGATATGCACAGATGTCCAATAATTTGTTTTTGTTTAGGCTTAACAAAATTTCAGTTGCATAGTTATAGGCGCAATAATTGATTTAACAGAGACATGTTGGTGTGAGTGCATGAAAAATATGTAAATGTGTGTGGACAGGTAGAATGAACAGCCACTTGTGTGCCATTGTTATCACTACTCCAGTATCTATATCTCGCTAGTAACGATATAAAATATGTACCTGAAAACACATTTATAAGTATTTACTATGTAAATGTGTACATATATAGACATACATATGCCTGAATTCAAATAAGTTAAACTCTTTTAAATGAGAAATGCATTTTTATACATACAGACATACATATGTACACACATATGGGCATACTTTGAAGCTATAGTTGATTGGGTGGAGCAAAATTTTTCACCGCTGTTTGATGGATATCACCTTTTATTGCATTTACATCTGAATTTATGGTACCAGGTTCGCGGCTATGAATATATCGTCGTTTAAAGTACAAAACCGCGTATGTGAGGTTGCATAAATTATTTTCTAAATAGTAAAAACACTCAGATTTCAAAATGGTTTTCGTTTTTATAAAGCAATCGCATTTCTGGCTAGTATATTTCAGGACGAATGGATAAAGATTAAAATGAAGAGAAATGTCATTTACGCGGTTTTGCAGAATGACGATACGCGGCTTTATACTTTAAACGACGATATGTACATAGGACTGGTTGTTTTTCAGTATTTCCGTGAAAGAAGAAGAAGACGCTTGCCAATTTTTTTCCATATAAATAACACAGGAAAAAACTTGTTTAAATTTGAAACTTCATAACTCGTTTTTAAGGCAACAAATCGGAGTTGACGATATAGCGACACCTGAGTGAGAGGATCGACCTCTCTCGGCAGCCAGTTCGAAAACGCCCTATCTCGGAATTCGGTTCAAAAACGCTCTATCTCAGCACATTTTCAATATATTTTCAGTTGTGATAGTTTTTTTTTTTTGGCGAATTGTGAGATGGGGCGTTCTTCAACCAAAAATTCTGAGTTAGGGCGCTTTCGAACTGGCTGTCGAGGGTGGTGCGTAATTTCTCTTCCATATAAAAATAGATTTTGTTCATGCGTTAAGTACATGGGGCAAAAATGCGCAATTTCATCGATAAAAAAAGTTCTCAAAGAATTTTCAAGCCTGCATATTATTATACTAAAATTCAATGGGCTACAAAACAGCATACCCAAAAAGTTACTGAAAATTCTAAAAAAAAAAGTTGAAATTTTTGATGATTTTTTTTTTTTGAAATTCGTTAAATTTTCCTAAACTGTACACAAAGTTTTAAACTTTGACTTATATGGGTTATGTTATAGATTCTACTATATTTTTATAAAAAATTTACGAAAAAAATTATTACGTAAAATATTGTGAATATGGTAAAGACTAGAAGTGTGCTTTTTAGGTGGGCGCCACTGTATATTAAAGTACATATAAGTTTGAAAATCCCGTTTACTTTTGATAATGTTTTTGGTTGTGCATTCCAAAACGTCAAAATACAAAGCATCAGTCTCTTTTATTTCTAAACTGTACTAGAATTAAAATGTCTCATCTATAAGATTTAAAAGCATATAAGAAATATAAATAACAGACACTTATATTATAGTCTTACTTATGTCATGCACTTGTGCAGAAAAAAATACGACTGAATTCGAAATTGCCCTCTTAACACCAGCTATAGTTAAATATACGGTCTCAAGCAGTTTTATCGAAAATTATGTTAGACTGCCGTCTGATGACGTTTACTCAGAAATTATAGATATTTTTACTTTATGCCAATTATTTTTAAATCGAAAAAAGCATCCAGAATAG